AAAAAAATAGCTGATACACAACACAATAATTATTTCTATCATTGTATTTAGTCCACATCTAAAGTATTTAGCTTAGCATTCAACAAGCATTTTAAAAATCCCTTTAAATGTACCTGTGATGATAATAATAATGATGATTATAACTAAATTACAATACAATCATCATCAATCAAATTACAATCATAGACACATACAGCGTATCATAAGCGTAACAGTGAAAATTAATTCCGTGACTGCAAATGATTTGGTCAAGAGGTGAAATATAAAGAGTGAAAAACAGACAGCCAAGAACAGAGCACTGGGCTATTCCATATTGCACATCAGAGTATGTCTATATAGTATTGTTATAGGAGATACACCGTGTTCTGTCAGATAAATTTGAAAAGAAAATAAGGTTTGACACTGTCTGATTGTTACCTATAAACCCTGGTGTGAAGGTTTGCTTAACAACAGCTTTTTTCAAACTAGTTGGGACAGTGCCCGTAGTCAGTGATAAATCAGCAATGTTTAGCAGCGAATGTACCAAAACTGGCCAGAGATCTATTGGACAGTTTAGATAATATATAACATAATAAATGTGTGACTCTCCAAAAATTAAATGTAAAACGATGGGCACTTCTCGCACTCAATGGTCGCCATCTTGGCTATGTAGTGGAAGGAGAAGGACCCCCAACATACTTTCAAACTCATGAACATTGTCATTGTAATTTCCATGTTGCATGACAAATGAGCACACACAGGACAGTGAAATGTTAATTTTGATGTCAAGTTAGCAAAGCAGCCAACAGGTAGGCGACACTTGCGGTTACCTGTTGCAATCATCATTTAGGGGGAGTGCACAACGACAGTGTTTGATTTGGAACAAATATTGCCAGTGAACATACTGTGTACACAGTGTACTATGTGTGAGTGTGCTGATTGAGACGCAGCAGAGGATTGTGAACATGGTACACATTAACCTGCATGTATGGCTGTACACTTTTGGTCTTGTTAATAACCTTTTGATCCAAAAAACGGTACGAATGGTCATGCCCAGTGAAGTGAATGCTGAACATACTACTCACTAATAGATCATGCCATTACTAAAGATGGAAAAGAACCTGCTGACAAAGTACTCTTTCTGAACAGAAGGAACCCAACCGAAACACGTAGCAACTTAACTGTCCAAAATGTCTAAATTAGACCATGCATGTATTTACTGCCCTGTTGGAGCATTTTCAGATACATATTTGATGAACACCATTGGGCAGCCATGTCTTTCCATGCAAACACTGTTAATCATAGAAAAAGACATGTTTAGTCAATCTCCTTGCCTTTATTCTGAAGGCAAGGACATTGGGTTTTATTTTGTAGAACACAATCACTGGGGAATTCTCCATGTTTAGCATTTTTTTCAGAGTAGCCTATTGCTGGAAGACAAGGGTCTATATTTATGTGAGGTCAGAGGGGTCACAGAGTAGATCCCTTTTAATAGGGAGGTTTATGGAGCAGGCAGCAGATGGGCTAAAGGTCTAAAGGTCTAAAAACTAAAAATAAATCTCACTATAGGATGAAAAGCTTAATTGAAAAATACCTATAAAATGAAGCTTGAATCGGCATGCCCACAAGAAGTACAGCCAAGAGATTACCCTTGAACAATTTATGCTACCATATGTCGAACTTGACAACCAGTTGTTTCCAGGACATGCAATTAACTTTTTAGCTTTAATTAATTTTTTTGGAGGATAATGGTTCCAATAGTTCCATTTTGAATCTGATTCCCAATTGGTGACATGCTTGCCGGGTCGTAAGCTCATGTATCACTCATCAAATGTTTTATTTCTCTGTGCTCTGTTTATTAGAATTAACAAAACATTCAAGGAAGTGTTAGGGAATATCTCATTTTTAGCCTGTGCTGTCTTTCACTGTGTTGAAATGACAAACATCACCGGCAGCAGATTTTAGCAGCTGGAGCTAATTAATGTTAATTTCATAAGTAACTTCCCTGAAGGTCAAAATAAACTTGCCTGTTGTTTAATGATCTTTCTCTGCCACTCTCTGTCTGTTCTTGGCCAGTGGTTATTTTGCAGTGAAAGAAATATGAAAATGTTAATATTTTTATTTTTAATTTGAATAAAGGGTAAAACCCTTTATTAGCTTAACTAACTGCAAAAGTAATCTAAAAAGTTATGGAGCTATTGCCAATCAAAAACCAACTTTAAAAAATTGAAACTGCATTTCATGAAAACAAACATGCACATTTATGCAAATGTGAAATCTGGATAGTTTTCAAATACATATATCCAGATCTACTGAGACTCCGAATTGATGAGTAACTGGACAAATACACTGCAGTGCCAGCTCTATCTAAAGTAAAGCATATATTCCTTACAGAGCAACATCTGACTTCAGTGCAGTATTTGTTCATTGTAAAACGGCATTTGACTAGAATAACCGGCTCCCAGAGTCATTTCAAATATTTACCATTTGTGTGAAAATTTGTCATAATTGATGTGTGAAGTCTTGAGTAACGGCTAAAAAGCGTTTTGTGTTTTGAATGGGACGAACCCGAAAACAGTATGCCTCTGTCTCAGGCTGTCGACAGCAGAGTGCCATACAGAAACTGAAATTGAAATTTTCAGGCAGAGTGACCATGACTCTTACTCATACTTAAAAAATGCTACAAACATGTGCATCTAGTGTGATATATATATATGTATGTATATAGATGTTTAAGATTACTGCTAAAACTAGATCAACACATACTTAATGCTCCACAGTAGATACGGTTTAATGTAAAGGCTTGTTGTCACCAAGGTGAACCAACTTTTGGAACATCTTTGTTGTTTTTTTTCTTTGAAAAGCATAAAATAAATATTATTATTAAATGAAAATAAAAATGAGGTTACTGAAGTAAAGACAAAAACATACATGTAGTTATTATGTATTTTAGGAGTTTCGTTTTGGACTTTGAGTGAACAGAGGCCAGATGGAGCGACATACAGATAAGCAATGAGATATAGTTATGCAGAAGCTTTTTATAGTTTAGACAAATGTCAAACCTCCAACACGTAACGAAGATAAGTGACGCCATTTCTTGTATAGGGGTTATTATCTTGTCAGCATGGCACTTGCATGGGCTGTGATCATGGCTGCTGACATAGTTGTGTCTAGTTGTGATAAGTTAAAATGATAGCATGTCTTCCTTCAGGTAAAAATGTGGCTAAAGTTCATATTTCATTTAAGGGAACATTTCCCTTTCAGTGTCTTACTGTTAACAACAAATGATCAAATTCAAGTCCCAGAGGTTGAATATTTAGACATCAAGACCAAAAGAGTTTTAAAGATATTTTCATATTCAGCTTGTCATATACCTGAGAGAAGAGGCGGGTGTGAGGAGACTGCAGAGGACAAGAGAAGGACACTGAAGTCAAACGTCAAACTAATAACATTCAGGAAAAAAATAATAATAATAACATGGAATCTTGTTAAAGAAGAAGAAGAAGTCTGTATGAGGACAAATAAAAGCCAACAAGAAGTAGTTACTCATGGTGAAATTGAAAGTGAGACATGACATTTAATTTACAGGAATAAAAACAAAAGTAATTTTGCTGTATTCTTAGGTTTGATTTATATTCCAATTGTAATTTCATATTTCAAATGTTTTTCTTTAATTTAGCTCATGATCAATGGATGACCAATGGATGGTTTACAAATATTTGTTTAGCATTTGTGATACATTCCATCGGTCTCAATAAACAAAATATTTATTGCAACATGAACAAGTCAGGAAGTAGATAATGAGAAGTACAGTAAATCCCAGATGTTTGGATCAACTCCAGCTGCTTTTAAACCTCTTTCTTCAGTCATAAAATGCTAGAAATGACCTAGCACAGCAAATGCTTTCCAGATGAGTGCATGGTTTTGTATGTGTGTGTGTGTGTGTGTGCCAGTGAGTGTTTCAGTCAGTGTTTTAGTAAGTACTGTCAAGACTGTGGGGTGAAAAAATTCCTATGTCAGATAGAAACCAATTTTAAAGCAGGTAATTTTTCTCAAACAACAGAGGAACATATAGTGAAATCTTTTCCTGATATAACAACAGCAGTATCTTATTAGTAAATGTGATTGTGAATGTGAGAGTATGACCTTGGCACATATATCTGTATATTTGTGATATCTTTCAACCAAATTTGTGACTGGTGAATCACATGTAGTAAGATACCTAAACCTTAAACTGGGTAAATAATAATAAACATTTTAAGAAGTATTAAGTATATTGTGCAAACTAGACAAATGCCAAAATATGTATATATTGAGAAATGTTGCTAATTTTTTGTTCCAGATATTAGAAACACCACAAAGTCCTCAAAAATAACAAGAGGTTCTGGCCACTGAGTGTATCTATTGAGATTGAGATTTTTTATTTATTCTTTTAAAAAAGGTGCAGAAACACAGAATCTAAAATTGCACATCTGTTAAAGTGCAAATCCAAACATCATTCATGTTCTGTGATATCTGAAAATGACTTTCAGGGAATTTCAGCTGCTCAGATACGTTGGATCTACATTAGTTCCAGATGTTTCACTTGCGTGTTCCTGTGCGTGCCACTCAACTCCAGATATGGCAGTGAATGCTTCAACACAAATCAGGTTTCCTGGAACGCTCTCACAGTGTGTGACTCTGGGAAGAAAGTCTTTCTCTAAGAACTTTTAGGCATTCTGACATTTGTTCTTGCGGGTTGTTAAGTGTATAAAAGTGATTTTAAAGCATCTATTAGAAATTAGAACATTTGTCTCAACTGATAGTGAAACATTTAGTGTAGTTTTGGTTTTTCATACAAAAACATCCACATATATATTTCACAAAGTGAATGTGAGAACAAAATACAGAAACTGTTTTAGAAATGTATAAAATCAGTTTTACTATATTATCTAAAGCATAAAACCATAAAATGTGATCTTTTGTTATCTTGGTCAAGTAAAAAGCAAAAGCTCCAGAAAAAAGTATTAGAAAGACAGACATGAATCAGCAATAACAAAGTTTATTATGTCTACTGGTACAGTTTGTGGAAATAGAACAGTGAAACTTAACCTTGATGCTAGTGAAACCATTTCTTTCTGTTAATGCACATGCTCTGTAAACACAGATTGCTGTCTTGACCATAACACATCTTGTACGTTGGACGTCTATCATGGATGACACCTAACCTCTCTGATTAGGTTACACAAACATGAATGTATTTTAGTATGGATACATTACCATCATGACAAACAGAAATGCATGTAAAATATTAACAAAGCAACGGCCTCTTTGCGTTTTCTATTTTTCAAAAAATCTTTTAGTTAACACATGTACACAACATAATAAATCTGTGTTTCCATCTCCTTGTGTTCGCCATTGCAGAACAAAAATCTTAAACAGTTCTGTATGCACAACTAATTTCTTCTCTTTTCCTCTCATTATGTATCATTACATGCCATGGTTGCAGCTTTCTACCACAGCACTGCTGAAAATCCTCACTCTTTGTTTTGCTTCCCCATTTCTTCTTCAAATGAGCTGTAACAAAACCAAACACTCCAGATGTTAGCATCTAAAGCTGTTCAGCTCTGACTGATGTCCCATTTATTTTATCCTGATTACAAAGTCTTAAACTTTGAAATAATTGTATCACACTTCACTTCATGGTGGTTACTGGGTCAGTGGACATATAGCATCATTTGCTGGAAATGATATTATATAGCCTTGTAACTTGTATATAGCCTAACAACTGGAAAACAGCTGTGCAAAGAAGCACTGACAATATCCAAATTGTTCCGTATTAGTATTTGTAAGAGTAATGTATTATTGTTGATAGGAGACAAATATATAATTCAAATTACACATAATATAGTAGTGCATTTGTGTATAATAAACTTGAAGAGGATCACTCATAGCTCTTATTTAGAATATGCTTTGCAATTAAACTATACCTCAAAAAATTAAGTTTGAAGCCACATCCATAATGTGCTTGTAATATCATTGGTATAAAATTAAAAACAAACCTTCTTCGTAGAATCTCATGTTTTCTAGAAACATAAAAGCCACTTGAAAGCATAAAGAGATTATCAAAATCAGAAAATCAGAAAATGAATGAATAAAAGTCAAAATGATTGATTGGTTTAATTTCTGAGTCTGTACTGAAACTGAACGTCTCTGTCGGGCTGCATGGATCCAAAGCCCCATCGCTTGAAGTCAATTTCAGGCATCTTCTCATCAGGATTCTTCAGCTCAAACTCAAAGTAGACCAACATGAGGAAAATAAACTGCTTCAGCTCATTGGTGGCAAAGAAGCGCCCAGGACACATGGAGACCCCAGCACCCCAGGGCATGTTGTAATACTTCACCTTCTTCCCTGCTTTGTAGAAATCGGTTTTCTTGCTGCCGTCTGGATTCAGAAAGCGATCATATTGGAATGAATGTGGGTCAGGGTGGATCTCTGGGTCGATGTGAACGGCAATGTAAGGAAACATTGCCATTCTGTCACCCTTGCGAATGATGTATTCGCGCCCATCAGCCATCTTGAGGGTCATATCGTGGAGCACTGCTCTGGTGAGGAGGGGTGCAGCAGTGAGTCGGAGGGTCTCTTCAACGGCGCTGTCCAGGATGGGTGTTTTCATCAGCATTTCGCGGGTCAGGTTGACTAAAGGGCCACCTTGTCGGACTTCCTGCCCTGATTCCTTCAGAACCTTATCTATCTCCCCCTTTACCGCTGCCATGGCATCAGGGTGTTTCATGAGGAAGAGGAGCAGCCAAAATGCAGAGGGGCCTGTGTTGCCCTGAGAGGCCCAAAGAAGTACAAACATGTACTTGTTTATCATTGACTCTGTCACACCCAACTCCTCTTTGGTCTGCTGCATGTCCCACACCCAGCCACTGATGTTGTCCTTGGTCTTGGTCTTCTGCACCGACAGAGCGTCCCAGAAGAATTCCATTAGCCTCTCCGCTTCCAACCTTTTCCTCGGTGGGAGGACCCCATAAGCCAGATTTGGGAAGAGTTGGTCATATTTACGAAACTGGTAAAATAAGGCTTCCGATTCAGCTCTGTCTCTCTCTTTGGCTTTCTCTTCACCTCCTTCTGACTGGTGAGGCACATTACCGTACAGAGATAGGTAGCCAGCCCTAAAAAGAATATTGTAGCTGTACATAAACAGTCCATCTTCTATCCAAGTGCTTTGATCTGCAGCTGAGCCAATGTTGTGCAACATCAGGTTTTGCAAGTTACCCATCATAGCTTGGGTCATGACCTCCAGGCCATCCCCCTTGAGGTGCTTGTTGCTAGACAGATGGAGAATGTGGTGGTCTTCCTCTATAGATACATATCCAAAAACTCTGCGCACTAGATGTTTCGCAAACTTCCTGAAGTCTAGTTTTTCTCGACTCTCCTTAACAAAAGCTCCAAATGACAGGGGGTCCTGAAGGAATGTGATATAAAACCCTGCCAGCTGCACTGTGAATACATCACCATGCTTTTGCTTCATCCTCTCTAGGAATTTTGATGTGTTCCTGCGAAACTCTAAGACATGACCCAGCCAAGGGATGAGCCCCTTATCCAAAGGGGGTTCTCCTGGAAGCTGCTGTCGAAACACCCCGAGAAGATACAGCCCTCCGATCAGAGTGGCAAGAAAGCCAAGGAGGATTGGCAGCAGTAGTCCCATGTCTGATTCCTCTGGCTGCCATACAGTAATCTGGAGTTCAGCCCCACATCCTTCAGCATATGCAGAACTTTTGCTCCTCCCTTTGTGTGGGATCAGTTCAAGCTTCCTGGGAGGTGCCTACTTCAATAGTCAAATTAACATGAAAGACCAGCCACTTTTCTTATGAACTGTGTCCGTGCATATTGTTTTTCAAGTGGTGAAATAATGTCACAGAGACTCTTTTCATTAAAAAAATATTCTGATTAAATGATATTAAGTGGATCCCACCAAACCCCTATGCAAAGGTGTATATTCAGCTCACTGTATAACCCTAACCCCCATAGCTGCTTATTGGGTTGTTTAAATGTGGCAATAGCTTATGTAATGTAGCTATTAAGTAAACGTTTTTCAGGAAGACATGGGTCATCGTGCAGTACAAAACAAGTGAGAGACTAGTGTGTCATAGGTTTATCCAGTAAGCATAAAAATACCTCTTCCATCTTATATAGTCTAAATCCTTAGACTCTGGCTTCATTAAATATTGTCTTTTGATCAAATAAACGGAACAATTGGAAAGCATACACATTTTCTCACATTTTTACACCTTCAGTTGCTACAGTTATGGTTCAAAGAGATAGGATGCCTGTGATAAAACCTTGAGTTTCTGGTGAAACTATTCTGCTAATGCACATAGCCTACAAAGCTCTATTGATTGGCAGATTAAATATTTGTGCACAATTGTGAAACGGAATGTACTAAAGATCAAATCTGCCCTATGAGTTACGCAAAGAGAGATTCATTGTCTAACATCATGATGGAAATTATTATTGGGTCAACTGCATCTTTGCTACTTTTCTTAAATAAATTTTTAATGCCTTTACAACATAAAGGACAGACACATGGACATTTTAACATTTTATGTGTTTGCTCATTTAGGAATTGTATGAAAATTTACAAATGAATGTACACCAACTAAATTTATACTCACATTTAATAACGAATATGAAACACATTACTTTCAGAGGGATATCAACAGTAGTGAATTTCCCATTTCATTCTTTATATGAAGCAAAATAACATCAGCAAACTTTACGTGCACATAACTGTGAAAGAGTCATTTGATTTCCAACTGCATATTTGTCTTGCTTGTTTGCTGTGTTGGTCCCTTGACATGTAGCACCATCTACTGGTTCATACATCGTACTGGAAAACAGCTGAAGCAGCAGCTGCAGGTTGGTCACTGTTATAGCTACAACCTTTTTGAAAGTGGAGTTTATTCAAGGCTTATTGGATTTTTGTCATATTGAATTTAACAGCTCTTCAATGTTAAGTTAAAAATGTAGATATGAAGGCTATAACTTATCGGCAGAAGAGAGTGGGAGGTATATGGAATACAGTGTATGAATGTGACACTGTATGGACGTGATTCTTACTCAGAACATAAATATAATATTATAATCTGAGTATAGCAAATTGTATATGGGCACCTGTTCAATTTTTATTTGATTTGACCTTAATCACCTGTCTGTGAAATTTCTATTTCACCTCAGACTTTTCATGAGTAAGCTATGACATCATTTCTGAGCATCTTGTCCTGCTCTTCTGTCCTGTGAGTGTTGTTCATCCTTGACTAACAAACATCAGCAACTTAGTGTGTGAAAACATAAACAAAAACAACACAAAGGTCTGTGCAGGAAGCATAATTCTACTGCAGTTGTTCGCGTTGTATAATGAAAAATGCCAGCTTAGGGGGTATTATCTAATTTCATTGTCCTACTTGTGCTAAGTGAAAATGTATGTTGACATTTGTGAGCTCATTCTTAATTAGCCAATGTCGCCTTAGCGCTGTCAACACTTTGCATGTGTTATTGTCCCATTGATGAAGACGTGTAATTCCATTATCAGTGCACCAAAGCGGTTTAGGTTTAGGTTTAGGGGTTGTTGCACAGCTTAACCCAACCAAAATAACTGAGGAAAAGTGTTGGGTCTTTGTTATGAATTTCCCCTAGGGGATAAATAAAGTATCTATCTATCTATCTATCTATCTATCTATCTATCTATCTATCTATCTATCTATCTATCTATCTATCTATCTATCTATCTTGTAAATTATGTGGCAGCTTAATAAATGTAGACTAGTAAAACATCTCAGTGACATCCAATATACCGGACAGTTGAAAAATTAAAGAAAAAGTGTAGTAAGGTAAGTAAAACAGCTTCAGTGGTTGCTAAACTGGGTTTAGATCTGGTGACTGTGAGGGCAACAGCATATGACTGACATCATTTTCATCCACATCAAACCAGTCAGGTCACCAGGGGTCAAATAACCTCGGCTTCCCCTCCAGCTGGGACTGCTAAAGCCTCAATGAGATGGGCAGGCACCTCCGGGGTCGCCCTCGAAGATGTGCCCTCATCGCCCACCATCCCGGAAAGGCCCTCAGAGCCCTCGGAGCAGATGAGGACACTGATGAGCACCTGGCTGTACTCTTTGGTAACCCAGGCAGCTGTGTCAGAAGCAGTATAAGCGAGCTTCTTTGTCGCCAGGACAGAGAAAGAGAGAGACAGAGAAAGGTTTCAAATGTTACTGTTAATATTTGTTTGTGAATTTAATACACAAGCAGCTGTTAGGTAAGTAAAGTTTGCAGGTGTAACCTTTAGAGAACCTTTAGTGAACATTCCCCAAGGGTTACCAGTTCACTGTGTAGTCTACATTTGCACTTTGGCATCTTTACAGGTACCATCTTTTCTGAGTGGTGATTAACATATTCACCACTGGATGGAGATGTTTCTTCTTTTGAGAAGGCCAGTTTCCATTTAAAAAGTTCTTTGAATTTCAGTACTATTTTTTGTCAGTGCACAAGGCAAAGTGAAATTGTGCAATAAAATAAGTAAAAGTTATTAGAAAAAAATAATATTAGTTAGTAACAATATTGACTTCACCAGGTTAACAGAGACTAGTATAGTACACTACTGTATAAGGTATGACACTACACTATACAACAAACAACAAAATAAATTCTTAAAAAATGTGTATTTTTAATTATGTTATGTTAGATGGTGGTCACTCAAAGCTATTTTGATGTTTTGAGGGGTGAACCATAGACTGTATATAAAAAGGGATGAACACAAGGCAGACGCTCTCACAAAAATGTGAAAAGTTGCCATTGTAAACAAACAAATCCTTAGATTTAAAGTGGCCACGCTTGTTTGAGTTGATCACATCAGGCTTAAGTAGAATTATTTGCAAGAAGCTAAGACAACTAATCATGAATCATGCAAAATTTCTACTTCTAATTAGCGTCACAAATATTTCTATGACAACAAAACTCTCTTAGTGTAAGTGATTCAAGGCAGCATTAAAAGTCGTTTTAAGGAGAAGTTTGTGTAAACAAGAATGTGTCACTACTCACACAGACAATGAATGTCCATACTGTTAATGATAGTACCAGGGCACTACAACTAATATTGTTAGGACCTGATTGATTAGTCTATTATTGATGATAATTCCTAATTATTTTATAACAATATTTCTACAACTAATAATAATAACACTAATATAATTATTATTATTTGCCCAATAAAATATTATAATTACAGTAATAAAGAATAAGCATTTTCTTATACAAATATTAATTGTAAAATCATTGCTAAAAGTATTACACAAAGTCATGTAAGAGTGGATGTAAACATGTTTACAACCCACTAATAATAATCTGAGTCATTGGCCCTCGGATTATTATTACAAGTACTGTAATATTTAATATATTTAATCTTTATTTAACATGATCTGAATTAGATGCAGCACGTTGTAGAAACGTGCCAGGAGCCTCTTGACATGAGGCCACTGTTACATCATCTCAGAGATTAACACGTGAAGCAAGATGATTCACCTCCAACTACTTCCAGCTTTGTTTAAATACCGGTAACTCATATTGTGGCATTCTACAGTAAGATGTTTAAACTATTACGTGGGCAATAGCGTATGGATAGATATTAGTTGAAGTGAAAGGGGCAGTTCAATTTCTTGAGAATAACTGGGTTGCTTAACATTAACCATTAAATAGTTGTTAGTTTCCCTTGTTTCCAGATTAGTAAAATTAATACTTTAAACTTAAACTGATTATGACATTGAAAGTCATCTGACATCATGAATAATTCAGTTTTCGTTTCGTTGCGAAACAGACAACATGCCCAGTGAGCCGGGAGTACTATCTCACAATCGTTTCACAATCTTCGATTTTACAAGTAGACTCTACCATTGATGCTGCGTTCAGGACTTCTAGGATTTATTACAACATCAAATTGTTGCACTGCAACAATGAAAGAGTATGTTATGCTGCCTAGAGTAAGATTATGTGATGTCATGCTTAACCATCTTGATTAATACATAGCTCTCCGTCACTACCTAGGACTTCTTATAGGGCTAAGAACTCGTTCAACAACCACATCCAACAGACAGCGCCCAAAAGTCATTGCTTTATACTATATTGAAGGACGCTGCCATAGGTACAAATTTTATTTTTTAAATTTTTTTCCTACTTATTTGAGGGTCTTTTTTAGCACAGACAAATTTGTTTTACCTAAATTCATACACTGGCAAGCGTTCATTTAAAACAACACAATTTTCAAGGCACACACACTATTTATTTACCATTTTCTCTTGCAACACTAACGCAGCACACTTGCTGACGTCAGAACTGCGTGCGATGGTAGTTACATCACGTAGCCGGCAAAATACTTCCTCCAGACTGTACGAGGGATCTGTGGCTCCAAAGACTCATAAAATAAATCTTTACAGACGATTCAAGAGACACACTTCTTAAACAGGTAAGAATCAAGTGAGTCTAATCTACTATGGCGAAGTTGAAGTTTTATCTGCCGTTAATCCTCGCTCTGGGTTGTTTTGTTTTCGCTCATTCCCTGTAACATGGCCTTTGACCAAAATCTAAGCCACTTAAAACGATTGTAATTTTTTATCATAACTGCACAATATCCGATATGTCTTTCAAAATGCAGGGTGTGCAGAGTAATTTAGGCCTATAAAAAGATGTGTCTCCCCTCTGTCCTTCATGCGTAACCTCTGAGCAGTTCATGTTAACATTAGCTCTGAACAGCGAGTTACAAACCAACCTGAGGTACGAATTTAAACAGTATTCATTAGTACTTTAGCAGCGTACAACCCCACAACTGAAATTTAGGTTTACAGGGAGGATTCAATCCCACCTGAATGAGCTAGCATGCTATGTTTTGGTAATAACATCCAACTTAAACTAATACCAGTCTCTCCTCTCCTTTTTAGTCAGGATGTCTGCCTATGATGAGAATGAATCCAAGTTAATGCGAAAAGTAAAGGAGAATCCATTTGTCCCAGTGGGTGAGTACGTCTTGTGCCCTCATGCTTACATCATAGACAAAAAGTTGATGTGATTTCATTCACTTTAAAACCTTTAAGTTAAACAGAATTGCGTTGTCTTAAAGTATGCTGTTGGTGGAACCCCCAACCCAAGTCATTACACCTGACCCTGCTTTTGTTGTAGTTAGCCATCTTTTGGATTGATGTGTCTTTTTGTTCCATGCAGGGATTGCTGGATTCTTTGCCATTGTTGGGTACAGACTGATGAAAATGAAAAATCGGGGAGACACAAAAATGTCGGTACACCTGATCCACATGCGTGTAGCTGCCCAAGGCTTTGTGGTCGGAGCCATGACTGTTGGTAAGTACCCTGGAGTGTCACCTTTTCTGATTACAGTAAATTATAGCTGTATGGTTTCAATTTGTGCCAAAGTGCATTTTTTTTAGTGACTGATTACATTATGACCAATTTTACCTGTCAGTGATAAAGTCTGAGCTGCAATATTTGTCTTATCTGTTTCTAAGTAGATGTCAGGAGTGTCTTGTAACCTATCCCTCTGTTTCTTTGTTTTTAGGAGTCCTGTATTCAATGTACAGAGATTTCATTGTAAAACCCAGAGAAGAACAGAAATCAATGCAAAACAAGTGAACACCACCTCTTACCCTGGTATTTTATGTCCCTTAATATTACCTCATATTAAGGTGTGTAGAGTGTTTATTTTTACTGATGTGTCAACTTTTATATGCACGCATCACTTCAGCAGCTCCCCTCTACTGTAAATACCCGTAACTTATTGATCACACTTCACATCTTCTAAGTGGTATACCAGAGGGTCAAGTTGTCACTTCTGTATTGAGAAGGAGGTATATTGATCTCAGCTGTTTTAACACTGGTTACACTCCTTGTGTTTGCGGTTATAAACGTAGCTGGTTTGACATCTGTGTGGACAGATGACATTACTGAGTGCAGAGTTTTTAGAGCCTCTTATTTGAATGATGAGTGAGTGAAATATGGCGAGCCTCGAAAATGTAGCACACAGTATCATTTGAAAACGGTATGACTAGGCTAAGTCTGGATTTAAAGACACCCACAAATGGCAGGTAGCCAAACAGTTTTCTTCCTCTGTCTGTATTTTATTGTCTCGTACCAGCTATATTGTTTTATGTACTAATTTAGGAACCTTTTGCCAAATAAAAAAATGCTTGCACCTTAGCCCACTTTTTTAATGGGCATCTTGAGGAAGGCTTTGACAACACTTGACTAACAGACGAAGCCTAAGCTCCCACATTGTTTAAACAACTAGAACATAAGAGGTTTTTGACTCACAACAGCATCATTCCATAAAACAACATTTTAAAATCATGACATGAAAATAGGAAATGGAAAAAAGGACTATTCATATTTCTTGACCGAAACTATAAAGATCTCTTGTAGAATTTAAATGGATTATTTTAATTTGGTACGCTTTCCACAAAATGGCTTTTTTTTTTTTTTTTGACACAAGGAGGTCCAATATTTCAATAGAGCAGCTTCACAAGCCCTCACGAGACATATAAACCAACTGTCACCTTCACCTATACAGACTGTGCAGTAATCTATAGTATATCATCATATAGCCTACCTTGTGATAAGCTTAAATAGATGCCTTGTTAATTTATACACAAAGTTGAATTTTGAATATTGTGTGCAAATACAGAAGATGTTATTGAAAGGTTTTTTTTTTTTCCTCTTGAAATAAAAATGACCAGTCTTGTAATTCTAACTATTTTGTAGTGTGTTCATTTTTGAACCTCTCCAAGTTTGCTTGGTGTTTTGTACCATACAGTATACCATTATACACTCAACTGCCATCTTATCAAGCACACCTACCACAGGTAAATCAAATGCAGCGAGCATATAGACTATGATACATGATAAGAACACCTAACAGTATAACACAGTGCAATTCAACAGCACCATGAATTACTGCGCCCACAATGGCCATAACAAAAGTTTTCATAATAGTTGAAACAAAAACTGAACATTACAAGATTTGTGACAGTATGATTTATTCCTGGCTTAATTAGTTGTATTTGGTTTTAACTAATAAGCTGCCAAATAACAAAATGGAAAATTTTTACTGTTCACTTCATTGTGCTCCAGGTTGTGTCCAAACAAATTCCAAACAATAAAACTGTTGCATATTTTTGAAAATTACTCTTCCACTCCTATCAAATAAAACTGCTGTGTTCTCTGCAACTAATCAGTGTTTTATGCTTTAAAGGCTGCATATTGTTCCAAAAGCAAATGCTGGAAAGAGCTGTGTCATTGTGACTCTTCAGTTCCTGTGATACTGAGAATTACTCACAATAGAGAACACAAAGAAACTATCTGAGATCCAATCAATATGACGCACCTGCCATATATCAGGTTACACTGTGTGCCACATGAGTACATATGCCACACTTGTTTAGTAAATCCAAATGTGTGTGATGCTAATCTTACAGCTCTCGTCACTTGTCATTCATTGTGAATTATTAATCATTCATTACAGTGATTGGATGCAGTGTGTAATCATGAAAGGGCAAGTGTTGTATGCAGATCCTTTACTTAAGTAAAAGTCACAATATAGCAATGTAAAAATACTCCATTACAAGAATGAGAGGTCCTACTTTAGTAAAAGTACATTAGTATTAACAGCAAAGTGTAGTTAAAATATTTAACTTAAAGTTTGGTACATAGTTATATATGACATCATTAAATGATTAACACTGACACGTCAGTGTGTAAGCAGCATGTTACATTTAATGTAATTCAATATTACATTCAAACTACTAAACTACCTGCAACATGAATTGAGGCCTTAACTAAACACAATCCAAAACCAAACCAAACCAAGTTGGGGGCCTAGACGGCACCAGCCTTCTAAGAGGTCTGAGAGAGAGGGTGCCATCTCGAAATGACTCAGCTCATATAGGCTTCAAACAGGTGAAGCCAATGAGATCAAAAGGGCCAAAAGGGCCAGGCAACCAGGAAGAACCTGAAAAGAAGAAAGCAGGGATAGACCAAAACAAATACTGTCATGCAGCACAGGGCTGTCACAGGAGGAAATGGTCACTTGGCAAGGAGCAAGCAGCCTAATGGATTAACTCAGACTATGTTAAAGCCATTAAAGTGGGATCCATATTTGTCAACACAATCATGTTTTTTTTCGTAAGGCCCTTACTTTCAATTAGACAGAAAGAGGCAGAATGTAAAAATGTTGCATATTGAAAAGAAATTGGCCTACTGGTCCAAATCGAACACATTTATGAAACTTTTAACTAAACTATATTTAAGATGTTGAGATATTTTGCTGAATAAATTAAATTAATCCATAATATGACTTTTATATATTCCACTTTCTAAAGACTTCTTCGTGTAATGAATGTAATTTCATCTGGTGACACTACTGGCTGAGATTAAAACATTATCACTGATTTTATAAAAGGAATTGTGGAGTATTATGATGTGCAGCATACACAGGCCTATTGGGGAGTATCATTTACAAAATAAAGCTATTTACTTTGCATCACAGTAGATGGTGCTATTGTAACATTTTGTAAACTCATTGCAGACATCCCATGTATGATTATAACGCATAACACATCCATGAGACACCCTCCCCTTATCCCCACCGCCTCTCAATTAACCACACCCACCTACTTTCATATGTTACCAAACTAATTCCCTGCTATATAAATAAGAGCATTATATAGTGTTGAATACTGTGTGACAAAGTCTAGCTTGACTTGTGCACTGACTGACATGTTTTCCCCTCGGGCCTTACCATAGTTGTGTGTGACCCGCTGCTGCCACCATTCAATACTACAAACCCATACATATGTAGCGATCTGTACAAACTCGATTTGACTCTGCTGTTACCAGCTGTCACCCTGCTGGCTGCCCTCACCACTTACAGTACATGCCGAATTGCAATTTATAAGCCGAAGAATGACAAAGACACCGCTTGGAAGCTTCGGGCCCCTCCGTATGAACCTAAGTCACACAGAGGAGCAGTGCTTGTTAGCCTGCGAAAGTTGGACATAGTGGCTGCTGCACTAATAAATGTTTTGCATTTTGATTTAAATACGTCTATCGTCTCCTGCTACTGTCATGACAACACAGGATTCGGTAGAGTTTTGTTGTACTATAAAAATACAAACGTAGCATCAAAATAGTTGTCACAGTAAGGAAAGTAAAACCCTCTTGATTTCATACGTTACCAGCTGTATGTAGCCTGCTGCGTAATATTTTGATACATCATGAAGCTTATTGTTTTACCGACACTCTGTGCCGTAATATCCTGTTTGGTGTATCCTCGCACGCGGTACATACCGAGGCAAGTTAACACTCAAAACATCCCGGTCACTGATGACTACATTCTTGTTCCCGCGAGATCTTGTTCTGAGCCTCTGGAAGGCCGTTGCTGTGGATACAGGAGCGTCGCGACTCGGTGCAAAACATCTTCCTGTTCGTTTACAGGGACCTTACTTGGATAAATGACAGGTGAGCTATTTTCTCTTTCTTTTATAAAACCACAATAATATAAAACCTTAACTTTGTATGAGACTGAAGACTAGAGTTAGAGTTCTGAGAGAGCAGCCCTATGTATATCACTCACATTATCATAAACATCAACCTTATCTTGCTAATTGCTTGACAAGCTACCTAGCAAATACTGGTGTTTTGCTAAGAGCACTAGAGTCAGTTTCATTCGGTTTAGGCTCATGATTTGCCAAATTTAGGCTAGCAAATGGCTCAGCAATAACAACCTCATGCTTTATAGTAATGTCTCTGTACACAACAAGAGGGAGGACACTGACATTTTACTTAGATTGATAGATAGATACTTTATTTATCCCCTTGGGGAAATCCATGATTGCTGCCAATTTGACATGGATGAACACATATTTAGGGCATTTATTAACCATGTATTTGTACATGGCTTCCTAGAAGAATATCATAAACGATTGATCTATGATGGCCAATTTGGTGAATATAATGGTTATTGTCGTTCAGGTAACTATATGATATGTATTGATTTCCACTGTCATTTTCCACCTTTGCTGTATTAGTTGATTATTTTCTCATTGTGATATATATCATAGATCATGGAGCATGATGATGAGCTGAATGACTTGCGGCTTCAGTTCCAAGTGCTACAGAAACAACAGGAGAAAAGAAAACTGGAAAGAAAAAAGGAGAAAGAATCAGATAAGCCTAATGTCAGTGTTTCACAGGATGATCTGGATCTGTCAAAACAAGGCATGCAGGCAGGCAACCTGCCTGCAAATGACAGGTGAGTCTTACAAAGACTGAATTAAATGTTTACCAAAGTTTTTTTTTTTTTTTTTTTACCTCAGCAATTGCTTTGATACATTTTAGTTATAAAGAGTAGAAATACAAAAATCTTTAAGATTGGAATTATTTATCTTTTAGATGAATAATCTTGGTTGACAAATCAGAACAAGTATGCTCTTAACGTGCAATTAATTGCCTTCCTAAAGACTTCTGCAGAATGAGAATCAGAATTTGGTTGACCAGCTGAGAGAGCTGCAAGATGAAAATGGTCGGCTCTTCAAACTTCTGAGTGAAAAGGATTTTGAAATTAAACACCTTAAGAAGAAAAGAGAAGAGGAACGACTGGCCTTAGCAGGTATAATACCATAATTGGCACATATTCTTCACCACAGTGATGTTAGAGATGCGTCACGGCTTCTTCATGACTCATCGACTCCATCCGTGTAGGCACGTCGGGTTTGGCAGGGGATGTAGCAGCCACCAAGATTGTTGAGCTGTCCAAGAAGAATAGAGAGTTGACCTCTGAAGTTGAGCGAGAAAAGATTAAGTCGAAGCAAAACAGCAACAGAATAAAAGAGCTTGAGAAAGAGGTAACAAAGTTTTGAGTTAGTTAGTTAATTTGAATTGTTGAATGGAATTTCATTGTTTCAGCACACAACTGTTTACAGTTTTTAAACAATGAAGTGTTGTTTATCATGTTATGTGTGGAATAACATGAAGATGAAATAAATGAATGGATGAATAATTATAATGTTATGATCCTTTCTGTAGCTTCAGACCGCTTTGGTGCACTCTCTACCTGGGCAAAAAATTGATACAAAGCCACAGAATAAGAGGTCATCTGAAGACTGTGAGGTAATTTTTTGAAGTAGTAGTAGTCAAAATGGACCAAAAGGATATTTTATGTCTTCCTAACTGTAATGATGGCAACTCGATCTGAATCATGTATAATTTGTTCTCAAAGCAGGAAAATCCGGTGGTGAAATCCCTACAGGAAAAATTAGCTGCTGCACAGCTGAAAGTAACTGAGTATCGCAACCAGGTTCAATCCGCCAAACAGGAGTTGAAAGTAGCTCAGAAGGTAGTATCTTTTTTTGCCTGCCCTAAGTCTAACTGCTCAAGAAGGATACCGCATATTCATATAATCAATCCACAGTGATTTCTGTGTTCGAAAATATGAACTGCTGCTGCTTTTGCAGGTGTTGATCAGTGAGGTTGGAGAGGAGGTCAACCTTCAGCAATTACTAAACTGCCCAGGGAGCTTTAGAGGTCGCTCTCAGCAGATACTGGCTCTTCAGACAAGGGTATGCTAGAAATGAAGTCATAATGTCCTTCTCATAGAAATAGAAACTTAAGTTCATAACAGAGTCAATAAAGTGTGTAGAAAACATTCACAAAAGTGGACATTTTGCATCAGGTAAGGGATCTTGAGAAGCAGCTGAACCAGTCAACTCAGCGGAGACAGCCAAGTGTCCTGAGTGTAGAGGAAGAATTTCTTGGCTTGGGCGATCTTCTGAAAACCCCCACCCAAGACAGGAACCTCAGCTACATCCGCACCATTGAGAAGGAGAAGAGGGAGGCGTTCGAGGTGTGTAAACAGATTTGCAAACAGGATTTGATGAGTAGAAATATGAATTTTATCATGTTTAAAGGCCCTGCTCTCTTTCCACTACTGTATAGAGGATCTCAGTTGACTATGAGGCCCTCCTGAAAGACCATGAGGATGTGAAGAAAAAGCTGGAAGCCTCTAAAGCCAGGAGCAAATCTCTGTCTGCAGAAGTGAAAACTCTGAAAGTCCAGATTTCTACCCTGCTCGAGAAGGGTAAACATGATGATGAGCTTGTGGATGCTTTGCTGGTAAGCATTTAGATAAAAGAAAAATATCTACGGTTACATTTATAAACTCGTTGTGTCTGATTTTATGTGCAGACAAATTGTAGTATATCTTGATTTTACAGAAGCTGTTCTGAGACTTATAGAGTATGTTTGACTACATTTTCAATTATTATATGAAAAACTGTAGATAATCTTTTCAGTAAGAAAACCAGACATGACTTCAGATTAACTACAGTGCAGTATGGGGTTTATTCATAAGGTTTTGGCCGGTGTTCATAAGCCTGAATGATCATGGGATCATATGGTTCATGGACAAGATAAGCATTCCTGCAGTTAGAAGGGTTTTAAGGTTTTCAAGTAACAACAGGCGTACATTTAGTTCATGAATTAAGTATGGTTGAATGTGTAACATGATTAAAGCCCATTTGACAATTTGTAGTTTAGAAGTAAATGGTGCATGAAAGGTATGAAATGCTTTATACATTTAATGGTTTATTAAATAAACAATCCAGCTCTTGTTCCACATACCAAATAACAATAAATAATGACAGACTTCGCATCGTATTTACAAGTCAAAATAAGCCCCAGAATGCAGAAAGAAGTGATGAGCCCAAGCTTTACCATGTTGTTCTCAACAATACCTGCTCTTTATCTCATCTTCCTCTGGCAGAAGCAGCAGACGCAGATGCAGGAGGTGCTGAGGCGGCTCAGCCAACAGCAGAACGGACAGAGCAAGGAGACGCAGCAGAGCTCGAGACGCCAGCTGAGCATTGAGCCTTCTGAGCACAACACTCTCATCCAGAAGCTTAAGCAGGTGGTTGCTGAGAAAGAAGCCAAGATCAAAGAGCTGGAAATCCAGCAGCTCTCCATTAAGGTGAAAAAAGAGGCAAATGTCATGTTGAACTTTATGTTTTGGCAAGCTGCCCTAAAATTTGACTATTCAAACTTTTCAACCAATGCTTCACCATTCACTCCTGTGTTTTTGTGCTGTTTCATAGATTCAAAAATACTGACTTTGTGACTTGAAATTTGGCAAGACATTAAATGTGTGTTCACAACTTTTACAGGAAGAGGGCATGGAAGTGCAGTCCAGCCTCAACACAACAATTTACAGTGCAGGTTTTTCCCCTGAAGAGGGAGACATTAACAAGAGAATAACATCTTCAGGGTATGTATGCTAATGGAAACCATGCTTAAATGCTCATTGGAATATGAATATTATTAGTTTACTTGAATGCATTTTTGCTATTGACATTCATTAAGACGGTGTATTATGTATTTACATCTTAAACTAATTTCCTCTGCTAACTGTTACAGTGACAGGCATGTCAGACATCTTGTATGGCAAGATAAGGGTTAATGATATATTCTAGCTAATGGGGGACTTCCTGTAATCAGGTTATTGATTTTGTTTCATGTCTTGCAGCTTTGTTGGCATATTCTGCTGGGATTTCTGTTCATATTATTCTGTCAACTTTCTTTTCCCAGTTCAGTTTCTAAATTTGGTCATAAACTGGTGCTGCCTACTGTGAGAAGTAGTGTGGACTTCAAGTAAGTGGACATAAAGCTACTCTGTTTATACCATTCCTGATACATTGTTATATCTAGTTAGCTACCATTATGAATAAACAATGTTTTAATGTTTTGTTCTCAGGGCTCCAGGTTCTTCAAATTGTCCACAATGTTCAGCTGATGTGAGTGCACTCATGACGCAGTGTAGTGAATATAAAATCCTCTGCGTGGAGAGGGACAGACTCCTCGAGCTGGTGAACATCCTACAGACAAAGTAATATATACTGCAGACATTGTTTTTTTCATCAATGAAGTTGTTTTCCTGCTGAACACATTTTTTATTGCGCTCCATTATTTTACTGTCAGTGGTCCATAGTGTTTGTTGAAATGCACATCTCGGAGAAACGTAAACTTAAAAATGTCTCCTGATCTGGAACTTTAAAACAATTTCTACTGATTTTAACAAAATATACCAACAAACACAGGGGGACAGTTTGTGCCAGTAGCACTGGTCAAACATGATCTTCAAAAGCAATTAGAAGATGGTTTTGTTACCCTTGTTACTGCAATTATCCAATGTTAGACTGCCTAACTTAAAGATGAATTTATGTTAATTTAATGAAATATCAGCCATGTCAGCAGCTAGTCCCAGAGATGGCAGTACCCATGACCTTGTTTTGCAGCAGTTAAATGATTCACACAAAGAGCACTGAACCTTTGAAATCTCGTTTTTCATAATTTATTTATTTGGCAATTTTGACACTTTTGTGCATCAAACATAAAGATGACCTCCTCTAATTAGGCATGAGGGAAAGTTGCAACATGATATCACCACAATATTCAATTAATTTGTAGCCCATTGTACGCGCCTATTTCAAGGCCATAGACAATTGTTATTGCTCTCTGAGTACTGCGGGGTTCTTCTCAATAGTTGTTTGAGTTCATTTTATTTCTTTAGTCAAATCCTGACTGAGGGGTGCACTAAAACAACAAAGAGTTTTATTTTATAGCCCTCAGGTTAAGTTAGTATTAGATCTTCCCAGTGCTAACTTAAAAGAAACTCAATGTTCTATGTTAAGTTTAATTAAATTAAATTAATTATGATAATAACATAGTTAAGCAATTTTAAAAGTTATATAGGCAATTACCTGGATGTATCAGTTTGATTATTGTGCATGTAAGTAATTATACAAGTACATTTATTTGTTCACATATTTATGTCCATCTAAAGCGTCATTAGTCCACCTCTACAGTTACATTCAAGAAGAATTGCATTTGTTTAATTGAAACTCATTTTTGTTTTGTTTGAATCTTCCAGGGAAAAGGAGATGAACCAGAGGTGTTTGCAGGCAGAGCAGAAGTATCAGGAGGAGCGCCGCAGGACAGTGATCCTGGAGCAGCAGCTGGAGAGGACAAAATTAGATTCAAAGTAAGGACTGTGCAAGCAGCAAGGGTAGAACTGGTATGGCAGCATGATGTAACAATGTCAAGCAGATTTTCATTTTACACTTTTTATTTTAATGCTCTGACTCATTAATTTCTCCCTTGTCCGTCTTGCTTGTGGCTGTCACGATTGTCATCCCTCAGGAGCAGTGTCTCTCAGTGCTAGGACGGCAGGAGTCTATAAACAACAGGAACGGTCCATAGACAAACTGAATAGACTGTCCAACACGTTGACTGGTATTCATAAACATTTTGTTTCTAACTTTGTCAACACTGGAGATGTCTTGAACTGTTCTTGAGTTTTGTTTTTCCAACTATCAAATTTACACCACACAACAGAAATAGCGATGCATGGCAGCGGACACACTGCCTATGGACAGCGCTCATTCTGACTCTCACGTTTGGATTGCACAGAGATGTTCAAGTCGCTCTTATATGTCATCTCTTGGCTGGTCATTCAGCTGGAGGTAACGGAGGCACTGAGGGCATCGCTAAAGAGCACTCTCCACCATGACCTGCAGCTCCGCAGTGACGTGATGAGACAAGTCAAGCATGTTTTCCTGCAGGCTCTGTGACAGCCCAGACAAGACACTAACCAGGGGAAGTGGCTGGTCCCTGTTCAACCTCACGTCCAGCTGAGCCCTACCTTCTCCTGTCACACGTGTCAAACATCAGCCTGCAGGAAACAGGCTCTCCTCCTCTGCCTCACAAACACCACACAGATCTTATTTTTCTCCATCTGAACCCTCACCGACAGTTTATGGTGGTCCCTTTCTGCATTTGGGTGACATCAGTTTAACCACTTGAGTACCTTGAGTAGCAGAGCTTTCAACGTAACCCTAATGGCATCAGACAAGTGTTCCTACCGATTACAGAAATGCTTGACGCTGATAGGACGTCTCCCCATGGTTTCATATTTTGTCTGCTTGCTGTTTTATAAATGTCACTGTCACATTTTATTAACTCAATGTATGTCTTTTCTTCCGCTGGCAACCTTAAGTGCATTGCAGGTATAGTTAGCGACTATATCTGTTTTTTCAAATATTTTTATAAACTAATGAGACATCTAATTTAATCAATGAAAAGGAATCTAAATCTTCACTAAATGCTTTGAATATATTCAATATATCCTTCATGGCTATTACCTTGCTACAGTTTTTAGTTTTTTTTGGCCCCAGATGGTTGTACGTAAATGTGTGACAGGCCAATCCAAATAGTAAACACCTCAGTTAAGTTCCCAAAAGCTTCAATATTCCTTTTAAATATTACTGTTAATCATTTCTGACTTGAAACCAGCTGTGTGGGAATAGTGGTTGGAAATGAATGCGGACTCAAGCTGCACAAACTCCCGCTGTAGTCCTCCATACGCTCCCCAGAGCATGTCACACATATGTACAGTATGGCTGTGTGATCTTATATTCTCCTAAATTCCAAATGTTGTCTGGATATTCGTAGCCTGGTGGGAGTGGCCCCTACATTCGTACTAACATCCGAGTTATTTTCTTCCGATGTAGCCAAAAGGATTTCAGCAGAAACCCCCCTCCACCCCACCCCGCCCTCCTTCTCTTCCCCCTCCACATCACGCTTAATTTAAAACCATGGCTGAGTTAGTGTGCTGCTTCAAATACCGCACTATTTCTTCCAGGACCCTGTGGGAGATTGGCAGGTCCCCATTGGACTAAGCGAGAAAGTGCCACATGACAAAAATATCAGCGTTTGGACGTGATGAAGAAAGCCTTTATGCTCAGAGTAACAAAAAACAGCTTGTGTTGAATACCTCCTGGATAGAAGGTGAGGCACCTTTTAATGTAGTAGAGTGAGATGTGTCATTGGAGGAACAGATGAGATACCGTGAGGCTTATGACTACATGTCCTGCAGGATTGCCAAATGTGTATCAAATATAGCAATGTGCGTCAGAAAGGGTGTTGATGGAGCAAATACTTGTCATGGTCCCTAACTGCATCCGATTCCAGGGAAAATGTTTCACTTAATACATTTTTGTTTCGTTGTTTTTTTTGTTTTGTTTTTTTTTTTAACATCTGCAATAACACAACTTCATATAAAAATGTAGTCAGTGTTCCTGAGCATGTAGAACATCTTCCAAAAAGTGCAATCTGAAGCTTTTATTTTGAACATGTGCTACTTGATAGGAGCAAGGCCAAAATGACCAGCTTTGGGGTTTTAAATAAACCTTATTGCTGTTCAATACTCATTTCCGTGTATTTTCAGCTAAACCCCAGTGTTGTCACAGATAGATGCAACTACTCCTGTTGACTTCAGTCATTAGAGAGTGTCATCACTTTCAAATAAATTACACTATGCCAAACAATTTTAATATTGTTTTATGTAGCTGTATTACGCAGAAAGGTGTAGATTTATTCCAAAATGCCCAATAACCCACCAAACCAAACACAAACTTATGTAAACACAGCATACGTAAACAGCCTCACCTATTTGTCATTCCAGGTTTGAATGACTCCTTTCTCCATCCTTCTCCTCAGAGGTATTCCCTCGTTCTGGACCGATGCTTCCTGCAGACCATTGACTGCATCCAGAAACTAAAGTAAATAGTGGAGCTGTGAACGCAGAGGTTAAAGTTAGCCATCAGTATATGAGGGATCTGTGAACTTTACTCAGGCCAGAAAACGGTTTGTGCCTCTATGAGTCCATTCATCTCCCAGTGCGTCTCATTTACATGTAATGGAAAGAAAATAAACAGCAGAGTCCTAATGTGCTCATTTACAGTAAGTAGAAATAAAATAATGAGCTGTTATCTTCACTTCATGACAGTGCTGAAGCAATGATAAGCACTTTTTTTTTCTTTTTACAAGTGAAATGTTCGTCAAAGTCAACAGAACGAGTAAAATTGTTGCTGCCATTGATATCCAAAATCAAGTGTGGAGGCAAGTTCTGTCAACGGATTATCTGATCTTGATTTTGATCTGTGCCTCTTTCTCTCTTATGTCAAACTTTTGAAGATATGTTTGATCTTTTTTTTTTTTTACCTTGGCTTCCCTTGCAGTTTCTCAATAGATATATTCTGGAGCAGTGAAGTGCATGTCAATACTGTATGCTTTTTTTTTTTTTTTATGTAATTTTGTTTATTTGAGCAAGTTTAAAAATAGGCAACATCACTAGATGGCAGTGTAGTTAGTCACGTACTGTATATCACCTCATTTATCAACTATTGATGTGTCTTTCTGACAGTCAGTGACCTGTTATTGTCCTGGAATGATGCAATCTAAAGCCAAAAATGACAAGGACTTATAAAGTATGCTTAATCTGCTAGAAACGTGCAATATATATTCTAAATAGTACATTTTTATTGTCATTGTGATAGCCCAGTTGTGATTAAATCAATAAACTGTAAAGGAAAGTGATCTCTTTGCTTCTTGAGTGAATTAAAGAGTAAATAGAAATATGAATAAATACAATAATGGTACAATATATGTCCTCATAGAGACATTATTGTAAATCAGACAAGCAGGAATAAACATGTATTGTTCTATATACGTAGCATAAATGCATGAATATATTGCGGTGCTGACATGTCTGCATAATACACCAGCTGTATTTTGCTACTGAAATATTTTGTAGGACAACAGAGCAAAGGCACAGAGAGCAAACGGACACTAAAACAAACTGACTCTGAAGTGGTGACAACCGTTCTTAGAAAACTGTTATCTTTTGACAAACTGTAGCTCCTCGCTGTCTGTCCCCTGCATGTACTGCCACTAAAGGCTGCCCCTCCAGTCCCTGCAGAAACCTAGCCATCACTCTTGACTCGTGACTCGTCCTTGTAACAACCCCCTATGGTAGAACAATTTCCTCACTCAGAATTGAATAGCTATTTGTGTTCTGTCAAACTCGGAAATAATCAGTGTCTTCAGGAAACACTGCTTCACATCTGATGACAGTCCTGGCAATGAAAGAAATGGCTGTTTTGTTTTTTATTCAGTATTTGGTACTCAGCTGCTCATTGTTGAATTTTAATGCACCTGAACAAACTACCACTGCCAGAGAATAAAAGACATACGGTCTGTACATTTACATATATGTTCCTGGAAGTTAGAATCACTGGCCATGTCATGTGTGGCCATCATCACTGATGCAGATATCCTTCGTATTCCAGCCTAACTGACACGCAAAGACTGGTGCTGACTGCAGCTCCAGGGCAGGAGGAGCAGTAACGTGAGGGCAAGCCCCTTAACAAACAGAGCTGTTAAACAAGTCCCTTAACACATGCTGACACAATGACATTGACCTTTTGCTCACGAATATGATCACTGCCAGTGGGATCTGCTTCCTTCTGAAGATTGACTGATCACAGGCGGTTGATTTTTCTAGTTTTACCTTCCATCTGATAGATCACAGTAGAAAGAGACCAAAATAATTGAGAGAGACAAAAGAGGATGATGTTGCTGGCTGAGCCACCTCGACGCCCCGGGAGGCTGCTTATCGCTCAGAGAAATACTATCTGCATGCTTTATGAATATAAATGTGTGAAGCTTTGTTTTGACAACAATCACATCCATCATTAATGCTTAACGGGTCCTCATTGTGTCAGCAGAGATTCATACGCTGTAGCTCTTTATGTAGCGCTCTATTTAAAGCAGGGGTCCCCAAACTACGGCCCGCGGGCCACATCCGGCCCGCCAAAGCAATTGGAGTGGCCCACTTAACGATCCCAGACAATCCCAACATCAACCAATTTTTATTAAATTGCATTTTCCTATCATAACATCATAACATATCCGTACTTAAAGGTTGGCATTCTAATTAAAATTGACCATAGTTATGAGCTATTTATAGTTAATAGTGGCTCATCTTCACCTCCTCACACAATGGTATATTCTGACGTGACTTTGATCGTGACCGAGCCAGCGTCAAGCTGCAAAGTTCTGAGGTGGGAATCTGTCATGAAGGTGGTTGTGTCCTGCATAAACTTCATCAGAGCAAACGGACTTAAACACAGGCAGTTCCAAGCCTTTCTCTCCGAGCTAGAATCAGCCCACGGAGACGTGCTTTACCACACTGAAGTCCGCTGGTTAAGCCAGGGCAGAGTTTTGAAGCGTTTTTACGACCTGCTACCCGAAATCAATGCCTTTCTCCTGACAAAGGGAAAAACTGTCCCAGAGCTGATCGACACAGAATGGAAATGGGACCTCGCCTTTATTAACAGATGTGT